CTCATTATAAACAAAAGTCAAGCAAAACAGAAAAGTACAAAAAAGTATATTATTATTCCAAAGTCCACTATTCAGAAGTAACCATTAATCTCAGCATTTGGATATTAAGAGTTTTGGGAATCTAAAAGGAATTAGGGGTACAAGGAGAAATGGTTGATTTGAGAGCAGGGCCAGGTAAGGACAAGAGGACATTGGAATATCTTACACCAGGAGGAAAGGAAGTGCTCAAAAAGTAAATAAAGGGGCATTTGATGAGGACATGGCGGGCAACTGCATGGGGCTCCTGATGTCTTATCTGAGACAGTTCGGGCATCAAAATAATTATAAACAACGGAAAATAATGCATGAGTCCACACTAACAATAAACAGATGAAAATCAGTATATGTTTATGCCTATATATGCTTATGCTGATGTATTATATATGTGTATATAAACATGTTATATATGTGTATGTATATACATGTTTTCCCTCCCCACATATATATGCTCAAACATTTCAACTGACAGCAGCTCTCAAGAAAATCTATTCTAATTTATTTAAAGGTTTTTTATGTATCTTGTTACATGAATATTCAGCAAATTTTAGATTATTCTTACATTCCCCTGTTTTTAACAATGACTTCCTATTTCCTCAAGGACTGTGTTAGGCTATCAATGGATTGGTGAAGAGACTGTTCTTTAAATTGTACATTTCTCAGAGGATTTCTTTTCAAAACTGATAAATTGAACCTTATCAAAATTTAAAAATTTTGCTCTTGGAAAAACATAAAGAAGGCAGAATGGCAAGCTGCAGAACAATCCTGTGTCAGACAGAAGACTTGCATCTCAAATGCGTGAAGACCTCTTAAAACTGGAGAATAAGAAAACAAGCTATCCAATTGAAGAAAAAAATGGACAAAGATTTGGACAGATATTTTTTCCAAAGAAGATATTCATGTGAATAATAAGCATACGAAGAGAAGCTTGGCATGAGTCATTTCAAAGGTATTCTCGAACTCTAAGATACTGTGCTTTACACTTGCTGGAATAGGCTCGGAATTTCTTGGAATTGCTGAGTGCTTCATGATTCTCCTGCACACTGTTTCCCACCTTCTGAATAAATGCTGCTGTCTTGACTTTATCATTCAAATCTAAACAAGCTGAGCATATAGCAGGGTTTACATGCAGATTTGCTGTCCTGGAGATTGAGCAAATGTAAAATGTTTAAGTGTCAGTGGCCTGGTGTTGAATCTCATACAATTCTGGCTTCATTTGGGTGAATGGTCTGGGCTAAATCTAACCCAGGATTCTGGAATCGAATTCACCCACCCTTTCTGCTTAGCCATTCTGCCAGCTTTTATCCTTGGAGATGGAGACTAGTTATGGAAATGAGATTTTTTGCTTCTTCTAAATATGCAGACTCATAGTTCAAACCTGTCATTCGTGATTCTATGATTAAAAAAAATAAGCTGTGAGGAAGGAAGACATTATCATTTCCAAACTTAACTTGAAGCTGGCTTAATTCACCCCAAGTCGCATCTAAGAATAATAGCAATTCTTCATTAGATACCAATGAAAATAAACCTCTCTTATCAAGAAGGGATGAAAGTTGAGGGGATCTGGTTATTTAAACAGCATAGGTTATTGAGAGTCAGACTTTGAGGTAAAGAGTGGGGGTGCTAGTCCCTTGAAATTGTGAACAAAGTTTTTTCTATTCCTACATGTAACAGCAACATCCAACATTTATTGAGAGCTTACTATATGACCAGCACAGTACTACACCTGTCGTCTAATCCTTTAACAAATCTCCGGTTTAGAAAAAAATCTCATTTTCATTTTACAGATTAAGAAGCAGAGGCTCAGAGAAGTTAAGTAATCTGCCCAAGTAGCAGAGCTGTTAAATAGCTGGACTGTGATTCAAACTCAAGTGGGTTGATTCCCTCACATTTTCTTCAATTTTTTTTTTTTACAAAAAAATTAATTTGTTTACAAACTTTTAAGATCTTTAATTCATCTAAAATTTAATTAGGAGCATGACATGAAGTGAGACATAAATATTTTGTATTCTAAAAATGCAACCAATCACAATTTAAAGTGATTTTTTTAACAATTTAATATACCAGAGAGATAAATACACAAGACATGATAACTAAAAAATCGAAGGCCAGGTGCGGTGGCTCCTGCCTGTGATCCCAGCACTATAAGAGGCTGAGGCCAGTGGAGCACCTGCAGTCAGGAGTTCGAGACCAGCCTGGTCAACTTGGTGAAAGCCCATCTCTACTAAAAATACAAAAATTAGCCAGGCGTGGTGGCACACACCTGTCATCCCAGCTACTCAGGAGGCTGAGGCAGAAGAATCACTTAAACCCAGGAGACAGAGGTTGCAGTGAGCTGAGATCATGCCATTGCCTGGATGACAAGACCAAGACTCCGTCTCAAAACAAACAAAAACGAAGGGACACTAAGTTATATACACAGTACAAGTAACTGCATTAAGCATAAAATATGCGTAGCCATTGATGTGACACCTGTCATACGTCTACATGGAAACGTAACACTGATGAAGTTGAGGGAAGAGTCTGAAATCAGAATCTAGCATTAGGCTGCTGAGATGGGTCTGAATCCCACACCTACCTCTAATTCTCTCTGGATGACCTTGTGCAAATTACTTAACCCCTCTGTGCCAGTTTCTCATCTAGAAAATGTGGATATTACTTATCTTACAATGTGGCTCAAAGGCTTAAGTAAGTCAATCCATGCAAAACAGCATAGTGCTTAACACTAAAACACACTGCATCTATAAATATGCAAAAATACTAATAGTTCTAATCACTGAAAGGTGAAATTACATGTATTTCAATTTTTTTCATTTAAATGTTCAAATTAAAATTTTCCACATTGTTCACAGTGATTTGTTTTGTTTGCTTTTTATACCCGGGGGAAAAAAAAGGTTAATTTTTTTCAAACTCTGGGTCTTAAGTGTGCCACTAATGCCAAAATATTCTAAAATCAAAAAGATCAAAAAGTAAGCCCCTTACAAACTCCCTTTAGGGTTGCCCCTTTGTGGAAAGAAACCCTCTGCCTCCCTCATAGAAAACAAGCTCCTCATTTCCATAAGCTGATAACACAGGAAGCATTAGAGCAAGGATTCAGTGAAAAATAGAATCCTTAAATAATAAATTGGAAGTATTGGGCATCATGAAAACAAGAAACAATAAATGTAAATAACTCCCAGGTAAATTATTTCTTCAAATCCCTGAGGTTCTTTAAGAGTTGGGAATATGTTATATTGCATTATAATTTATAATTGGATTTTGAAGTCTGTTCAGTAACAGGTCTAGTAACAGGGCTGGGAATTAATCCTCAATTCACACCTCATTACATTGCTACGAATATCACCAAACTTGAGTCCACATGAGACAGACTTTCATGTATGTAAATAAGGGGGCCAGCCAGGCCCATAGAACTCTATCTAATACAGGTACTTTCTTATATATGGGGAACCATTGGGATGGAAAGCTGAATTATTCAAAATAATGCAGTTCCCTTGCTAAACTTCCCCAAGCTGCAGATGAAGCTAATGAAGGCGGGATTTATCTGCATTTCTTCAGAGGTGATTTGTGAAAAAAAATCAGCTGCAAATAACTAGAGAAGCAATCTGGAGAAACGCTTAGTATGCCTCCTACAAGCAAGAGTCTGTCCTGGCCATAAAATTGCTACTGTTCAGAAATTCATCATGTAGAAGAAAAGGCAAGGAGACTAGTTCTGGGAACCTGTTCTTCTGGAAAACGATGATTAAAACATTTTCTTCCAGCCACTCACCTCCCACTGGGGACTAACAAGGCTGAGAAAGATACACAGCAGCTGTGTGACTTTGAGTTGGTTTATTGCCCTCTCTGAACTTCATTTTCCCCAGCTGTTCAGTAAGAATACCTACCTCACAGTATTTCTGTGAAGACTCCAGATAATGCGGTGTGGTTTTCCTGGAATCTGACACATAATAGATACACAGTACTTGTTAGCATTATTACTGGGGAGTTAATTTCAAGAACCTTGAAAGAATCTGGGTCTCCAGTTTCCCAGTTTATTTACTAACATTTAAATACCTTTAGTTGAAGGATATGCTTTCATTCTACTGTTACAGATAAGGCTTCACTGCAAACATCTGGGTGTAATAGCAATTTGCTTAAATTAATATTAAACTACAAATGATCCATGTCAGATTATAACAGGTTCTGAGAACTACTAGAAGGGAGAAAGAAAACATTTGCCTATTCACTCATTAAGCATTTATTTAGCACCAACTATATGCCAGGTTTCCCCAGTTTGGGGGCAGGGACAAAGACAAGCCTATGGACTTTGAAAATGTTCCTTTCTTAGCCTGAAATAAACTGCCTGGCTCATGGTTGATCCTTCAGGCCTTGGCTTAGATCACTTTTTGGGTCCTGTACATACTCAGATTCTGTGCTTCTGTAGTATTACAACAAGAGAATCTTCCAGACAACTTGTACTGGCCAGGCTTAGCTACCCCACCCCACTCAGTTGTTTAAGAAACCACTATTTTTTTCCATGAAGCTCAGTTTAAATCAGTTTCCAAGGCTTATTCCCACCATGCTGGGTAGAAATTTCACCTTAGTCACCATTGAGCACCTATCTCTGAGTCATTTTAGAATCCAGGAGACATTTCTAGTACCCGGAAGATAGAGAAAGGGCCCGAGACTTCCCATTCTTCAGCCCCTACCCCCTGTCATGGCCAGCTTCCTCTTTGTCACAGCTGTCAGTGGCACCTCCCCACTCTCAGACACTCTCAGCTTTGGTGGGTGTAGAAACCTTGCTGAGGCAGAGAGCCATGTGTCTTGAGTCCAGTCACTATTTGATGACTTGGTGCTCTGAGTGGTACTGCCACCATGCAATGTGAGGATCCTGCCATCTCTCACTTTCCGTCTCTGATCTCTCATGGAGTCCAGAGAGCTCCTTCCATCCCAGAGGTCTGCAAACTTTTTCTTTCTTTTTTTTTTTTTTTTTTTTTTTTACAAAACCCTACTTTTTAAGGAAGAAAAAAAAAAAGAAGAGGGAAGCGTATCGTGGGAATCTATGGGGTGGGTTTTAAGAGGTGAGAACTTGGAATCTTGCAAGCACTGGGAGTGGGCTCCAGTTGCAGCAGACATGGGAGCAGGGAGCGTCCTCGGGCCACCTGGCTCAGGAGTTGTTCCTCTGGCGGATGTTCTTGCCTTTGTCGTTCAGGTGCTTCCCGCTGCTCTTCAGGGGTGCGGAGCCTGCGTCATCATCATCCAGGACATCGTCGGGCTTCCGGCGCTTCTCGTAGATGAAGATGATGGTGACCAGCACCAGCACCTCAGCCACGATGCCCAGGAAGGGCCAGAGGGCGGCCAGGTGGCTGCGTACGCGCAGCGTGATGACGGCCTGGTCGGTGCCCTCGGAGCTGGTGCCGTTGCACGCATACTTGCCGGGGTCGGCCTCCATGTTCAGGTTCTTGATGTGCAGCTCGGACCCCAACAGATAGCAAATATGTTGGGGCTTCACAGGCCTGTCTCTTTAACAGCTACTCAGCTCTGTTGCTGTAGTGCTAAAGCAGCCATAGACAACAAGTAAATGAACAAGCATGGCTACATTCCAATGAATGGACCCAAAAAATCTATTTTTGTAAAATGTTCATGTGTCACAAAATATTATTCTTTACGTGATTTTTTTTTTTTTTTTGAGACAAAGTCTCACTCTGTAGCCCAGGCTGGAGTACAGTGGCACAATCTTGGTTCACTGCAGCCTCTGCCTCCCACATTCAAGTGATTATCCTGCCTCAGCCTCAGCCCAGTAGCTGTAATTACAGGTGCCTGCCACCACACCCAGCTAATTTTTGTATTTTTAGTAGAGACAGGGCTTCAGTATGTTGGTCAGACTGGTCTCAAACTCCTGACCTCAAGTGATCTGCCTGCCTCAGCCTCCCAAAGTGCTGGGATTACAGGCATGAGCCACTGCACCCAGCCTCTTCATGTAATTTAAAAAAAAAAAAAAAAATTCTAATGTTCAGACCATTAAAAGAGCAGGCAGTGGGTCAGATTGGGCACACATCCCAGAGTTGGCCAAACTCTGCTCTATCCTCTTCTTGTCCTCAAAAAGCTTAACATAATTTGTTTCATCAGTGTAGACTTTTGAAAATAAAGGCCATTTATTCATTATTCATTCATTCATTTAACAAATCCTTTTAAGGTGACCATCAACCATCCCAGAGTGCCTCAGATTAAGAAGTTTCATAGGATGTGGGATTTCTAAGTACTGAAATGGAAAGTCCTAAGCAAACCAAAAGCGTTGATCACCCAACCTATTAGGTGCCAGGTAACAACGGTTCAGGAATAAATGGGACAAAGTATTTGTCATTACAGAACCAGCATGCTCTTTGGGAAGACAAGTGCCTTTGCCCACGACTCCTATCCTTGGTTTAAGATATACATCTCCCCTCACTCATTCCCAGCAAGTGCAGGAGATCAGGAGAAAGTACTTGAAGGAAAAGTACTTGAAGGAAATTATCATCTCAACAGATCGTCCTATTACACAGTGAAGTACTGTGCATAGTATTGATTCTAAGCGTCAAAGAGCAGCAAGAGTAAATATGCAAAAGTTCCCACGATGCAATGCGAGGTGACTGAACCAACACCTCATCCCACCCACCCACCCACTCCCAAAGTTTGAACCAGGGCTGGAATATCTAGGCCCAGGGAGCAGAATAAAGGCTTTCAGAGTGGTCCAAGCATCTTTCACCTCTAGAGATGCCTGTGGTACTAGCAAATGCAAACATACTAAAATCATTTTATAAAAATCACGAGCAATTTCATTTGGTCAATTCTATTGGCTTAATTCTGTGATTAAATTTATAAGCTCAATTTGGCTTCATGAGAAAAGTCTAAACTTGAGGCCTGCTAGAAATCTGAGGCCCAGGCAAAAAAGTTCTCCTCTTTTCCTGTGTTCCTTGCACATGCTTTCCCCTCCATAGAGTTTAATATAGTAAGACAGCCTCAGCAGGGCCTTTTTAATTAGGAAAGGCTTACACTTTCCTTTCAGTGGTGAGTGATGCACAGACAGGACTTCAGCCCCTATTTGACCCCTCTGTCAAGCAGCTTTGTACAGTGCGTAACCTGCACCACTATACAGAGCTACCCTGTGACAGCTGTCTGCACTTTCAGGGAAGAAATCAGACCCTTTGCTAATGTTGGAGGAATAATGAATGGGGTGAATTTAATTGCTTAACACCCCAGGGCAGTAAGTTGCTTCTTCAAAAGTGATTTCTGTCTTTCAATCACTTGTATTTTTGACAACTGGCTGTTTCTCACCTATTGCGTCTTCCTGCAGTTCTACTCGCAGAATGTGCCTGCAAAGGGTGGGCTGAGCATGGGTTGGGAAAGCCTTTGAAAGCCAGCCAGGCAGAAAGTTCAAGACAAAAGGTCTTCAAGAAGATATTATTGACAGTCTTTGGTTAAGCAACTGCTCTGGCTGGAGGAGGATAATAAAGAGTGCACCCTAAACCCTGCTTCAAAGGGGGACTTTGGCTTGGCTGAGGGGCTGGTTGTAGAAGCCTCTAGAACAAGTGCTTTTATACATCAACACCTACCTCCCCAGCTGAGAATTGTTCATCTGGTACTGGTGGTAAAGTCTCCCAAATGCGCAGCCTGACAGCACTTCCTAGACAGCTGGTGGTCAGGTTACCATGTCAACAGGAACAGACCTGGTGGGGTTTTGTTTACTCATCACCAAGTTCTCAGTTTGAGAAGCTCTTAGCCATGAAAAAAAGCTAAGAAATCTGATCTCTGACTTTCAGATTGCTTCTCTGGGCACTGGAATTATTTTGATGCCAGTCAAGAAGGAATCTGCTAAGATACCCAGAGTCTATGGGGAGGGATGGGAGAGTGAGGAAGGATGGAGCCTTCAGATAAAGTATCTTGAGTGTTTCACTGACAGGGGAAATAACATTTATGGAGTGTCTGTCATGTGTCTGTAATTCTGCTAAAAACTATGCAAATTTTATTTATCTTATTCTCAACTATCCTGTTGGATTAATATTACCCTGTCCATTTTATGGATAAACAAAGAGAGGCTAAAATGCCAAACATCAGGTCAAGGTTCACTAAATAAGAACATGTGCAAAAGATGGATTATTATGCAGACATTTAAAATCACATATTTTTAAAAAATATTTTTAGCACAGATAGGGTTTCACCATGTTGGCCAGGCAGATCTCAAATTCCTGACCTCAGGTGATCTGCCTGCCTCAGCCTCCCAAAGTGCTGGGATTAGAGGTATGAGCCACCACGCCTGGCCTAAAATCACATTTTTGAAAGGCATTTCATAACATGTTCACCTTGGCATCTTGCTAAAACAAAGAAAACATAAGGCAAAACTGCACAATATAACATCTCCAGGCCAGGCGTAGTGGCTCACGACTGTAATCCCAGCACTTTGGGAGGTCAAGTTGGGCAGATCACTTGAAGCCAGAGTTTGAGACCAGCCTAGCCAACATAGTGAAACCCTGTATCTATCAAAAATACAAAAAAAATTAGCTGGGTGTGGTGGCATGTGCCTGTAATCCCAGCTACTCCAGAGGCTGAGAGGGGAGGATTGCTTAAACTCAGGAGGCAGAGGTTGGAGTGAGCTGATATCACACCACTGCACTCCAGCTTGGGGGAGAGAGCAAGACTCTGTCTACAAATAGTAATAATAACATATCCATAGAAGATATATAGGATGAATAGCCCTAGAGACAAAATTATGGAGAATACTGTAGAAATAATTGAAGATCACCCAAATGAAAACAATCGAAGTCTATTCAGAGCTTGCTCTACAATGGAGTCAGCCACCATCACTTGTGTTTGACCAAGAATAAAAGGGAGGCAGAGGAATGGGAACACTTTACAGTGGAAAAAAGAAAAGCCTTCAGGTGTTCCCTTATTGGAGGCCTTTGGCACAAGGAAGCTGGATGGGGTTTACCAGAAGTAGGACATCCAATGTGATTGGTTAGGAGAACATATTTGGCTTTCTCTGGTTTGTCCTAAGTGGGAAACAGAGATGAAAATTGGGAAGCTAACTGTTGTTGGCTAAGTCCTGACAGCCTGGGACCAATTACTGCAAAGGCTGTGGTTTAGCTTCTTGAACTGTTTGCTATTGGTTTTGGGAGTTCTATTTTTTTTTCTTCTTTTGAGACTGAGTTTTGCTCTTTGTTGCCCAGGCTGGAGTCCAGTGGTGCCATCTCGGCTCACTGTAATCTCCGCCTCCTGGGTTCAAATGATTCTCCTATCTCAGCCTCCCGAGAGCTTGGATTACAGGCACCTGCCACCATGTCTGGCTAATTTTTCAATTTTTAGTAGAGACAGGGTTTCTCCATGTTGGCCAGGCTGGTCTCGAACTCCTGACCTCAGGAGATCTGCCCGCCTCAACCTCCCAAAGTGCTGGGATTAGACGTGTGAGCCACTGCACCAAACCTAGAGTTCTATTTTTATATCTGATTGCACCATTGTTCATTTCTATAGTCTCTCAATATACAAAATGATAACAGTAATTAACACAAGATTTTAGGACTACAATTAACTTTTTTGTTTATTTTCTTTCTAATTCTTTTCAGATTTTTCTAAATGTTCTATAATAAACAAGTGTTATTTCCAACAATAAATAAACGTTTTTATAAGGAAAAAGAAATTGAGTTTCAAAAAGGTCAAGTAATTTTCCTGAAGTAACACAGCTAGTAAGTAATTTGCCTGGAATTGAACACAGACCTTTCCGGTGCTAGTGCCTGAGCATTTTCCTTAGTTACTGAAAGAAATGAAGAATGTAAACTTGTGTTGAAGAATTTATACAAACCAGCTACTTCCCAGATATCACTTTAAAAGTATCTTGTTAAGTCTCATTATTGAATAGCTGATACAGTTTTAGGCATATTTTCCAGGAAATTTGATTCAAATAAAAGGCAATCATACTTTAGTTTTTAATCACTTATCAAATAATAAATAAATTTGTTTTTTGAGGGAAGCATTCCCAAATACCTTTGAGGGACTAACAAGCACTCTGGACTATCTTCCCAAAAAGAAATGCACAGAAAGTCTTTTTATAATTATGGAGGCCCATAGGCCAAAAACCTATTCTAGTGGTAGATGTGTGACATCACTAACAAGTCTAGATGTAGGAAGATGTTTGAGGTCAGTAGGAACTTTCTGTGTACTTCACAAAAATAATTCTGTTTATAATCAAGTGTGTCTGTTTGGTACAACTCATTTCTGATTTATTTGCAATTAACAGACAACAGTCCCGGGTGTCTCCTACATAACTCTCAGAATTTTGGAAGGTGACCAACCAGTATGTGAAAAGTGAAGTCCATACATAATACACAAATGTTACTTAGGCAAATAGCTAACACCCCCATCCCCAACTTCCTTCACTGCCAAAAATTTTCTTACCACTGATACCCTAAAGGGCCAGTTTGACATTCTTCTCTCTCTTATCCCTATGAAA